AAAAACATCCTGAGAATACACACTTTGTAGAATGTTAAGTATGTGATGCACAGAGTAGAGTAGTGAGTGAGCACAGTATTCAATTTCAGGGGATTTGCAGTCAAGAAAGTTTATTTGCTAAATGATACCAACATTTCCTCTGATACTTTCATTTATTTTTATATATGTAAAATCTCATGGATAATTAGGATTTAGACATACTTTTTTGGACATATAAATAGAAACTAATGATGTAACTTGCTCTTTTGAAAAGAAATATTATGTTCTAGCAGTAGTGACAACTATTCAGCAGCCAATCATTATGAAGCTTAGTAGTTAATCTTCTACAATGATGTATGTTGTATTTTTATTTTTAAATTATTGACATTATTGCAGATGTTCCCCACAACCTCCCTTAGCCCACCTAACAATCATGTATGTTTAAAAAAATTAAGATGCACCCACCCTACCTGGTTTGGTTTAGTGGATAGAGCATTGGCCTGCGGACTGAAGGGTCCTGGTTTTGATTCCTTCAAGGGCACATGCCTGGGTTGGGGTTGCAGGCTCGATCCCCAGTAGGGGGCATACAGGAAGCAGCCAGTCAATGATTCTCTCTCATCATTGATGTTTCTATCTCTCTCTCCCTCTCCCTTCCTTTCTGAAATCAATAAAAAATATATTAAAAAATAAAATAATAAAATAAAAAAGAAGATGTAATATGTAATCATTAGGTTTCAATAGAAGGAAGAGTTTTTCTCAATTAAAGTGCAATGCTTTGAGTGCAATGGCTCTTAAATTTATTCTGCTGGTGAGTCATCTAAAGTGTTTATTAAAAATGAATATTTTTATGGATCTAGGATCAGAAGTGGCATTAAAATCTGACTTTTAACACACACACACACACACACACACACACACACAAATACCCCAAGTGATTCTGACACAAGCTGTCTGCAGACTATACTTTGAGAGAGCCATTGCTCCAAAGGACTCTGCTCCTATTAAAACAATTATGTGAACCAACTCCAAAAAGAAAAAGACAAAATTTCCAACAAGTGTATGGCAAAATGACTAGCACTGCTTTAGATGAAATGTCAGTTATATAATCAGCAATTCGTTATTTTAATATAAGCACAAAATAATTAAATATAAATAAAGTTATAAGAATGAGTTCTAAACAAATTTAAATAGAAAGGCATCTGGTGTGCTTCTTCCAGGTTCCTCCATTATGAGGAGTTACTAATAAATTTTAAACAATGTAAGAAATATTTCTGTGTTAAGAGAATTATCCATGGCTAACGTGAGAATGGGAGGCTGTCTGAACTTATTTACTATTATGCCTTGGAGTTTTGCAGACGTCTAAGGAAATTAACTCAGACTCAGAGAATTTGAGTCAACTTCAAAAAACCATCCACCACCAGCAAGATAACTTATCCCAGCAGCTGAGCAACTACAGGAACTTTCCCACGGAGGAGGAACTGCTCAAATCACAGATCTCCAATCTATTAAAGAAGCAGGGACAAATGGCCATCAAACTCTGTCAAGAGCTAGTCATTCACACTTCAGGTAATCAGGATCTAGTGGCCTGTCAGATCAAATCTGTTGTCTCAGTTTAGGTTAATTATGTGCGTCATCTCTGGGAGTATGAGAGAGTCGTGTTGTCCAAAGTCCACTAATGAAATCACACTGATTTTACAGAAGACAAAGGAAGATATAAAAGTATTTAATATTTTTGAAACAGAGGCAAATTTGGGGAAGCATCATGAACTTATATCAATTTGGATACTTCAGCCCCTCCACTTTATGAACTATTTTTAGGGGATCCTGGTGTTATAAGAAGTTAAAAGTAGAACAGATTATTCATTCTAATTCCAGAAGACTGAGGCCTGCAAAGATCATTTTAATCACCACTGCCCCAACCCATGATTGGGGTGATCTCATTTTCAAAGGCTCCTACAACAGTATGTTTTCAGGGTGCTGGGTCTCAAACCCTATTATCAAGTTAAGTAGCTTAGTTTCCAAAACCTTCCCCAATCACTCCAAAGTTGTTTAGTTTGTACTTTTAGATATAATTTCTTTTTCAGATCACAAATGCAATCCTTGTCCTAAGATGTGGCACTGGCACCAAAACAGCTGCTATTATTTTGCAACGAATGAAGAGAAAACTTGGAGTAACAGTAGAAAAAACTGCATGGACAAGAACTCCACCTTGGTGAAGATAGACAGCTTGGAGGAAAAGGTCGGAATCTCCTTTCCTGGTTACAGAAATTGCCCGTGTAATGTAAAGCAAATAAATAGCATTTCTGATCCACACAGTAGGAATTCAGTACATTTTGAAGGAGAATTAATAAATGGCTTTAACGTATGTTCCCATCTATCTTACTTCTGCAACCGGAACTGTGGTTCTCACATAAGATTTTTCCTTTTCTCTTTCTCAGCATTTTCTGAAGTCCCAACCATTACCCAAGCTTTCTTTCTTCTGGTTGGGATTATCATGGGATCCATCTGGCAGAAGTTGGCTGTGGGAAGATGGTTCTAGCCCCTCTCCAGCCTTGTAAGTCTCTATTTGGAAAAAATCCAAGCTAATAACACTAAGAAATGGGATATTGACAAAATGATCTGATTTTCATTTCCATAATAATTAGTGATGTTGGGCATCTTTTTTATTTGCCTGTTGGCCCTCTGTAGGTCTTCCTTGGAGAAATGGCTAATCAGATTCTCTGCTTATTTTTTAATTTTGGTGGTGAGCATGCTATAGTATATATAGATATCAAATTACAATAGTGTACATCTGAAACATGTTATTAATCTACCTCAATAAAAAGTTAATTTTAAGAATTATAAATCTAGATTCAAAAAAGAGTACAACCTACAAAGGAAATAGAGCTTGAGTAACAAATACTGATGCCCTGGACAGTTTTTCTCAGTGGTCAGAGTATCAGCCTACCAACCAAAAGGTCTTGGGTTCAACTCCTGATCAAAGGCACCTTCCTCAGTTTAAGGCTTGATCCTAGGCCCCCAGGTTGGGGTGCATACGAAAGGCAACCAATCAATGTGTCTCTCACCTAGATGTTTCTCTCTCTCTCATTCCCCCTCTATTCTCTCTAAAAATCAATGGCAGGGGAGCAAACAGTTAGGGGTGAGATCAGGCTGGCGCAGGGGAGCAAGCAGTTAGGGATGAGATCAGGCCAGCATGGAGGAGCAAGCAGTTAGGGGTACAATCAGGTCAGCATTGGGGTGCAAGTAGTTAGGGAGCAATCAAGCTGACAGGGGAGGGCAGTTGAGGTGATCAGGCTGGCAGAGGCAGTTAGGGGTGATCAGGCAGGCAGTCGAGCAGTTAGGAGCCAGTGGTTCACAAGATTGTGAAAAGGATGTCCAACTGCTGGTTTAGGCCCAATCCCTGATATTGGCCTAAACCAGCAGTCGGACATCCCCCAAGGGGTCCCATATTGGAGAGGTTGCAGGCCAGACTGAGAGACACCCTCCCCCATCTCATGTACGAATTTCATGTACTGGGCCTCTAGTATTTTCTATAATAATATACATTAACACACATTTAAATTTAACAATTGTTAGCTATTTT